TCCCTGGATATTATCTTTTCTGTCAAATATTTGGATGTAAGATAAGATAGATAAATATCTTTAAGGTTTTTTTAGGCTACTAAAGGCTTAAAGAAAACTTTTATTATAACATATGCATTGGTTTAAAAAGAAACCCATTACTAAAACCCATTGATTCCAAGGCAATAGTTATGTATAGTATGGGTTCTCAGATCATCAATTATAATAGACTTTCTGAAAAACATACTATCCTGATGTAAAAGGCAGTCCAGCTATATTAACCATCTTACCATTTATGAACTACATCTCAGCAAACCAGTTTGAGACCATAAGTGCTGTTTTCTGTGTTTTTAACCCATTGCGGAGAAAAACAAAAAAAGATGTCTTGGTTCATAGTACCAGCATCCTTTCACCCTAAATTCTTCCATAGAGGCAGACAGAGAAAAGATAAGTAGAAAAGATAAGTACAATACTATAATCAGTACCAGAGATCTGGGGTTTCCCCAGAACTGAAAAAGAATGTAATCCTGGCTTCACTTTCACCAAACTGCTCCTACACTTACCTAACATAGAACACAACCTCAGACTCCATGCTCTTTAGCAGCACATTGCTGTAGACAAAGGATTTTAAAAATGCCTAGATAACCAATTGTTGCCCAGAATGTGCACCACTTCCTCAGAACACAAAGAACCTGTTAGCTCCAACACTCCTGAATTGAAGGCTTTAAATGTCCAGTCCTGCATAAGGAAAATAGATAGTAATGTGGATCTAGAGGTTGATGACAATGGCAATTCGCTGTTCACGTTATTTTCCTGATGCAGAAAGAGATGTGATGGTCAAGGTGGTGGCAGCAGACAGATGACCTCTGGAAGGCCTTCAAGTGAAGTTTGGAAGGGAGCCTGTGGTTGTCCAATTTTTTTACACAAAATTATAGAAAACAAATGAGAGCTTTAAAAAATGTTAGGTCACTATTATATTTAATGTATCATTCATTGAAAGGCTTTTGGAAATACAGGGCATAGACAAAATATTAAATAACACCATGAGGGGGAACATAGGACAACCCACACGACAACTAGTCTGGATACCTGAAAATATGGTGTCATGAAAGATGGGAAACTGTTGTAGAATAGATGAATATAGCACCAAATACAATCATGAAACTTGGTTAAAAAGAGTTTCTAATATATTTCTTTTTTTTTTATAGAGGCATGTTTTTATTTATTTATTTATTTAATTTGTTTGTTTGTTTTTGTTTATACATGCACTGGGTACAGTCAGAAGCGTGGGAGGGTGAGAGAATTCACCAGAGCCAGAGCGGAGAGCAGAGCAGGTCTAATATATTTCTTATAGCAAGTAGTTAAGTGCATTTATAAAAGTAACTCAAGTGTGAATGCGTGTTTCACACAAAGTTGAAGAAAACTAGAGAAGGATAATCAATGTGATTTAATAGGGAATGGGTTTTACCAAATATTGTGGATTTCTTTTTTTTTTAAGATTTATTTATTTATGCATACAAGAACTGGGATACAGGCCAGAAATGTGGTGGGGGTGAGAGGATTCACCAGAGACAGATGGGGAACAGAACAGGCAGATCTATTGAAATATACTGCTGAGGGGAGCAGCAGGCTAGGTAGGGAGGTCTGCTGCACCATGTGGTCACCTTCCTGGCTGGGGATCGAACTCCTGCTGCAGTGGCTGTGGATTGCTTCATAGTGCTGTGGCTTAACCCCTTGCTCCACCAGGGAGGCCCCAGGAATTCTTAATTTTGTCAAGATGATAGTAGCATTGTGATTGTTTAGGAAAATGTCCTTATATTTAGGAGACATCTGCTGAAATATTTAGAGGTGAAGTGTGAAGAATCAACAAAAAAAGGAGTATGTATGCATAGAATAAAATAGGAAAAATGTGGCAAAACAAACAATTCTAAACTTTGGCTGGAGGACAGAGTTATGTTTATACAGTTATTTTAAACTTTTCTGTTTATCTGAAGCATTATAAATATTTTTAATTAATAGACTTAGAGCAATTTTTGGTTTTACAGAATATCGAGCAGATAGTACAGAGTTCCCATATACACACTTTCTCCTATTCACAGTCTCCCTTCATATTAACATCTTGCATTAGTCAGGTACATTTGTTATATGTGATGACCCATTGTTATGAAAATGTGCAGACTGATGAAAAAGTCTGTGGTTTATATTAGGGTTCACTCTTTGTGCTGTGTAGTTCTATGGGTTTTGACAAATACATAAATGGCATGTGTCCAGTATTACTGTCCCATAAATAAAATTTTCTGTGCCCCCCAAATTTTTTACCTCTCCTTCCCTCGCCAAAAAACCCCATTAATCTTTTTTCTTTTTTTAAAAAAAATTATTTATGCATACAAGAACTGGGGTACAGGCCAGAGGTGCAGGGCAGGGGGCATAAGAGTGTTCACTAGAGACAGAGCGGGGAACAGAACAGGCAGACTGACTGAAATGCACTGCTGAGGGGAGCAGCAGGCAAGACAGGAGAGGTCTCATGGGCCATGGGGTCAGCTCCCAGCCAGGATAAAACTCATGCTTCAGTGGCTGGCGATAGCTTGATATCATGCTTTAACCCCTTCACACAAGGGAGGCCCCCACTGATCTTTTATTTTTTTTAATTTATTTTTATTTATTTATTTATTTTTGGTGGGACCCTCGCCAGTGGCCGGGGATCAAACTGGTGCTGCAGAGGCTGCGGGCAGCCTCGCAACACAGCACTCAACCACTGCGCCACCAGGGGAGGCCCCCCCCCCATTGATCTTTTAAATGTATTTTACCTTTTTTTTTTTAAAGATTTATTTTTATTTATTTATACAAGCACTGGGTACAGTCAGAAGCACAGGAGGGTGAGAGAATTCACCAGAGCCAGAGTAGGGAGCAGAACAGGCAGAAGGACCGAAGCACACTGCTGAGGGGAGCAGCGGGCGGCAGGAGAGGTCTGCGCGCCATGTGGGACCCTCCTCCAGTGGCCGGGGAGCAGCAGGGGATTGAACTGGCGCTGCAGAGGCTGTAGGCAGCTTCGCAACTCAGCGTTCAACCGCTGCACCACCGGGGAGGCCAATGTATTTTACCTTTTCCAGAATATCAGGTAGTTGCAATTACAGAATGAATGTGTAGCTTTTCAGACTGCTGCTTTTGTTAAGTAACAAAAATTTACTTTTCCTGCATTTCTTTTGTAGCTTTACAGCACATTTCTTTTTTTTAAATTTATTTATGCACACAAGAGCTGGGGTATAGGCCAGAGGTCCAGGGGGATGGGGGGGTGAAGGGTGGGGTAGGGTGAGGGTGTGTGAGAGGATTCACCAGAGACAGAGTGGGGGGCAGAACATATGGATGGACTGGAATACACTGCTGAGGGGAGCAGTGGGCTAGACAGGAGAGGTCTGCTGTGCCATGTGAGTCACCTCCCTGGCGTGGGATCAAACTCATGCAGCAGTAACTGCAGATTTCTATGCAGTGCTGAAGCTTAACCTCCTGCGCAAGCAGGGAAGCCTTACAACTCATTTCTTTTCAGCAAAAAATATTTTTAAAACACAAAAGGACAGAAAAATTTAAAACTTAACAACAAATTGTAATACAGATACTTTGACATCTGATTTAACAAATATTCTCTAAAATGACATTTTAAAAGATATTTTGAGAAATCACATCACTTGGTATTTAATATAAAAATTGCTAACGTTGCTAGGTGTGATCATTGAATTGAAGTTGTTTTTTTTTTTAAAAAGATATATTTATTTTTATTCAAGAACTGGGGTACAGGCCAGATGCGTGGGAGGGTGAGAGGATACACTGGAGACAGAGCAGGAACAGAACAGGCAGACTGACACAAATACACTACTGAGGGGAGCAGCGGACATGACAGGAGAGGTCTGCTGCCCCATGTGGGATTCTCTCCGGCCGTCCAGGATCAAACCCGTGCTGCAGAAGCTGTGGACAGCTTCACAGTGCGGCGTTCAACCGCCTGCGCCACCAAGGAGGCCCAGTTTTGTTTTTTAAAAGCTTACTTATTAGAAAGGAAAATAAAAGCCTCTCTGGTAGCACAAGGGGTTAAGACACAACCTTTGAAGCTGTCTGCAGCCTCTGCAGCACAAATTCGATCTCCGGTCTGCAAGGGAGCTACCCACATGGCACAGCAGACCTCTCCTGTATCACCTGCTGCTCCCCTCAGCAGTATATTTCAGACAGTCTGCCTGTTCTGCTCCCTACTCTGTCTCTGGTGAATCCTCTCACCCCCTACACCTCTGGCCTGTACCCCAGTTCTTGTATGCATAAATAAATACATCTTAAAAATTAAATTAAAGAGGATAGAAATAAAACTTAAAAAAGAAATTTAAATAAAAATAGCACTACATTCAAAAGAATGTACTACTTTTGGAGGTTTTCATGTTGCTCAAATGCATCAGATTTCAGGAAAATGTGAGGTGGGAGCAATGCAAGAGAGAAATATGAGTAAAGAGACTATTTCAGCGTCCATGGGAGTGTTCTCATTTGAATGCTGTGTTTTCCCTGGATCTCTATACTTTTCCATTGGACTTGAGTTTAAAGATGGTAACCTAACCACCACCAAACTGCCTACGTGCCCAACATCTGAATAAAACTGAGAACCTTCTAGCCAAAGCCTTCTTTCTGCTCATCCTAGGACTGAAGATGCTCCCCACAGTTTCTGTGCTGATTTTTTCCAGTTTAAAAAAAGACATTTGATTTTGTGAGGAAACTGGAATGGAAATTTGTCTATGATTTGTATGTCATCATGGATGCAATGAAAAGGTCTTTCGAAACGTAGATGAGACTTCCATACATTGACAGGCACTACTTGAAAATATTCCATTTAGATTGCCAGCTGCCTAAAAGGATTGGGATTTTCTTAATGTTTGGGAGGAAATGTACGCTGAGAAAGGACGCGGGGTGGCGCTGCAGCCTTAGAATTCGAAGGAAGAAAATACCATCAGCCCGCGCTCCTCCAGCCAGAAGCTTTCTTAACGCAGGGAGCTGGAAGGGAGGCTTCCTAAGATGGTCGCTCCGGGTGTCAGGGCCCTAGGCAGCTCCACTTCACCCACAATCTTTGAGATACCGGGGGGACGCAGTCAGCGAAAAGCGAGCCCGAGCTGGGCCAGGTTTGCTGGGAGACCAGGCGCGATGGAGACCGGAGAAGGAAAGGAACTCTTTCTGAAACAAAGGCAAGTCTTGATATTCTTTGTTTTGCTGGGCGTAGCTCAGGCTGGTTCGGAGCCTAGACACTACTCAGTGGCCGAGGAAATGGAGAGTGGCTCCTTTGTGGCCAATTTGTTAAAAGACCTAGGGTTAGAGGTAGAGGAGCTAGCTGCGCGGGGGGCCCGGGTCATTAACAAAGGGAAAAAAATGCATTTACAGCTTGATAGGCACACCGGAGATTTGTTATTAAATGAGAAACTGGACCGAGAGGAGCTGTGCGGCCCTACGGAGCCCTGCATACTACCTTTCCAGGTGTTACTGGAAAATCCCTTGCAGTTTTTTCAGGCTGAGCTACAGATTAGGGACATAAATGACCATCCCCCGGTTTTCCTAGATCAAGAAATAATTTTGAAAATTTCAGAAAGTATCACTCCCGGAACTACTTTCTTAATAGAACGTGCCCAGGACTTGGATGTAGGAAGTAACACTCTCCAAAGTTACATAATCAGCCCCAATTCCCACTTTCATCTTAAATTACAAGACAGTCCTGACGGCATAATACCACAGTTGGTGCTGGACAAACCACTAGATCGGGAGGAACAGTCAGAGATCAGGTTAACCCTCACGGCGCTGGATGGCGGGACTCCACCTAGGTCTGGTGCCGCCCTGGTCCGCATTGAAGTCTTGGACAGCAATGATAATGCCCCACAGTTTGCAAAGCTACTCTACGAAGTGCAGGTCCTAGAAAACAGTCCCATTGGATCCCAGGTTGCCATTGTCTCTGCCAGGGATTTAGACATCGGTGTCAATGGGGAAATATCTTATGCCTTTTCCCAAGCCTCTGAAGACATTCGCAAAACTTTTCGAATAAATGCAAAATCGGGAGAACTCCTTCTAACAAAGAACCTGGATTTTGAATCCATCCAGACTTACACATTCAATATTCAGGCAACAGATGGCGGGGGGCCTTTCTGGAAGTTGTGCAGTCTTTGTGCAAGTGTTGGATTTGAATGACAACCCCCCGGAATTGACCGTGTCAACACTTAACAATGAGATCTCAGAAAACTTGCAAGAGACCATAATTGCTGTATTCAGTGTTTCAGATCCTGACTCCGGGGACAAAGGAAGGATGGTCTGTTCCATCCAAGATGATCTTCCTTTCGTCCTTAAACCCTCTGTAGAGAATTTTTACACCCTAGTGACAAATACAGCGCTGGACCGAGAGCTAACATCGGAGTACAACATCACGATCACGGTCACGGACTTGGGGACCCCCAGGCTGAGGACCCAGCACCACATCACCGTGCTGGTGTCCGACGTGAACGACAACGCCCCCGCCTTCAGCCAGAGCGCCTACACGCTGCTGGTGCGCGAGAACAACAGCCCCGCGCTGCACATCGGCAGCGTGCGCGCCACCGACGCCGACGCGGGCTCCAACGCGCAGCTCACCTACTCGCTGCTGCCCGCCGGCCGCGCGCACCCGCCGCCCGCCGCGCTCGTGGCCGTCAACGCCGACACCGGCCAGCTGTTCGCGCTGCGCTCGCTCGACTACGAGGCGCTGCGCGCCTTCGACTTCCTGGTGGGCGCCACGGACCGCGGCTCGCCCGCGCTCAGCGGCCAGGCGCGGGTGCGCGTCGTGGTGCAGGACGCCAACGACAACGCGCCCTCCGTGCTCTACCCGCCGCCCAACGCCTCGGCGCCCTGCCCCGAGCTGGTGCCGCGCGCGGCCGACGCGGGCTACCTGGTCACCAAGGTGGTGGCGGTGGACGGCGACGCGGGCCAGAACGCCTGGCTGTCGTTCCAGCTGCTCAGGGCCACGGAGCCCGGGCTGTTCGGCGTGTGGGCGCACAACGGCGAGGTGCGCACCGCCAGGCCGCTGGGCGAGCGCGACGCGCCCAAGCACCGGCTGGTCGTGCTGGTCAAGGACAACGGCGAGCCGCCGCTGTCGGCCAGCGTCACGCTGCACGTGCTGCTGGTCGACGGCTTCTCGCAGCCCTACCTGCCGCCGCCCGACGCGCCGCCGCCCGCCGCGCAGGCCGACCGCCTCACCGCGTCCCTGGTGGTGGCGCTGGCCGCCGTGTCGTCGCTCTTCCTCCTGTGCGCGCTCGCCTTCGCGGCCGCGCGCCTGTGCGGGAGGCGCGGGGCCGGCGCGCGCGCGGGCTCGCTGGGGCCCGACGGCCCCTTCCCGGGCCGCCTGGTGGACGTGGGCGGCGCCGGGACGCTGTCCCACAGCTACCAGTATGAGGTGTGCCTGACGGGGGGCTCAGGGACCAACGAGTTCAAGTTCCTCAAACCCATTCTCCCCAACTTCCTTGCTCAGGGTGAGGAGAGTGTTCATGAAGCAAACCTGTTTCAGGGGTAGGTCTGAAGTCAGTTGAGTATTAATAAGGGCCTAATGGAGTCCTGTCTCAGTTAATTGGTGGAAATTTCTTTTCTACTGCTTTGCTCATTGGGGGTATTTTTATTAGAAAAGTCTCTTATTCCAATCCATTACATGTTATTGGTGTTTCTAAAGTGTTGCTTTGTGATATGACAGTAATTTTTTTGTATTCTTACTGGTTTTTGCTGTAACTTAATTCAATTTAAATTGTAAAAGTATTTTGTTTTTAGGAAGTCTTTTCTTTTAAAGTAGAACGCCTTTTCTGAAAACCACCTTTTCCACTTCCTAGATAATTTTGCAGGTCATATTTCTAAATGTTTCCTAATTCAGGATTATTCTCCACCCTAGCTGTCCACACTCTGAATAGTTTCTATATGCTCTTAGGCTAGTGTAATTTTTGTTCTGTGAACTCACATTGGATAAAATCACTAACAGGTATAGTCATGAATAGCAAAGCATGTACACACATTGTTCTAAATACATACTTTAAGTGTATTTGCATGGAAATTGTGATAGTGATTGTGAGAACCTTGACTGTTGGATTCCACAAACCATACACCTTAAAGGTGCTCAATAAATCAATATTACAGTGTAGTTAAATAACTAGCACATGTCCAGTCATTTTCAAAGACATACTAATTTTTCATGCTTTCTATTTAAAAATTTACAAAATATTTGCCTGTTTCTATCCCTTCCCTTTAAAAACTACCTGTTTTATTTATGAAAAGTCACCTATTAACTTTGAGCTCTTTATTAAAATCTAAAAGACTTGAGGGAATATAATGTCTTTGTCCTTGACCAAATTTTAGAAACTTCAATGCAGCTTGGCTTTAAATTCTTCAAAAATTTATGAAGTATTTATGATTCATTGGAAATAAGCCTGTAGCAAAAATACTTATCTAGGTCTACTTGTTCTTTTTTGGTTTTGTTTTGCATTGATTTTACTTGTATTTTGCTCTTTCTGTTTCTTAGAGTTTTCAGTGCTTTTTCCTTCTAGATGCTTGAATTATGTTTCCCAGAAGCTCCCAAATTATAGCATAATTAGCACAATGACAGGAAGTTTGTAGGTTCTGAATGATTGTTTGAAGGAAAGAAGAGTCTTTATTTCACCTGTGATATATTGATATTTAAATACACTAAACTACTCACAGGGTAAATTTTATATTGATCTATAAAATATTGGACAATTTTTTAATCAAAAATTCTATTATATACAATTAATTATATATATAATTTTTGGTTATTAAACTGAACACTGTTAATCAAACACTCAGTTATCAGTCCTACTATCTCTTTCCTTCAACATATTTCCTTTCTCTTCCTGTTTGAGTCTCCTCTCCTGCCCATTAGCTTAAGAAATACATATGGGCCTCCCTGGTGGCTCAAGGGGCTAAGCACCACACAATCCCAAGCCTCTGCCAGCCAGGGAGCAACCCACAAGGCACAGCAGACCTCTCCTGGCTTGCCAGCTGCTCCCCTCAGCAACGTATCTCAGTCAGTCTGCCTGTTCTATTCCCCACTCTGTCTCTGGTGAATCCTCTCAACCCCCTTTGCATCTCTGGCCTGTACCCCAGCTCTTGTATGCATAAATAAATAAATCTTTTTTAAAAAAGAAAATTACCTTCATTTTTCTATTTCAAATTTCCTTCCATAATTCCCTAGTTGATCCAAATTTCTTCTTACAGTTCATGTTCTAATCCATGCATTAAAATAGTTAATTCTTAGTGTTCTTCAGCTATTTTAAAATTTTACAGTGTTCTATGCTATTCAATGAACTGTACCATTAATATTATAATGTGATATTGAAAGATCTCACTTTGAGATTAGCAGTGTTATAGCGCACTGTCTTCATATCAGAAGTCTCCAATCAATTTATTACCTGTAGGATTTTTGGATAAATCACATAATTTCTCCCCCCCCCAAATTATAAGTTATTCAATAGTTTGCAGTTACAGTCAAATAATACAAAGATATAGAAGTATAATTGTTGTTTTTGAAATCACTAATGTGAAAAGTAAGCTTAATAGAGGAGGTTTCATGTTACATTACTGATAATTGTGATGCTCTATTGAAAATGTGGTATTTGTGTTGTTTCGTTTCTCTGCTTAAAACCTTGCAGTGACTTCCTTTCATTCTCAGAATAAGATCCAACTGCCCTTATTTGGCTCCAGTTTACCTCTCCAGCCCTTTCTTCCTACTTATTTTCAAGACACTAAGTTTTGGATACACTGTCCTTCCTTCATTATCTAGAATAGCTTTGCTTTCCTGTCTTGGGGCCTTTACATATCATTATCTTATATACAGAATCTACATTCTACAGTCAACCCAGAAACTTCTCATCCTTCATTTTCAGTGAAGTGGCACAAATATGGAAAACTTTCTCACTGTTTCCATTTAGTTAGACCCCCCTATTGCATATTTTCACTGCACTCAGTACATCTCTAATACAGCACTTTTCACACGCTTTGAACATCTGTCTAAAGTCTGTCACACCATTATATGGAAGACTGTATAAGACTATTAACCTGGTCTGGCTTGTTACCACTATATTCCTAACTTCCACAAACTAAATATTATCATCAATATGATTATATGAGTAATTATAAAATTGCTATGACACAAAAGGGGAGAAATCTGTGTTCTTTGCATGAGTGTAAAGATATGGAAGGAATTAGGCACCTATGATCCTCTGGATCTACCTTAATAATAAGGATATTATTAAGGATATTATTAATATCCTTAATAATAAGGATATTATCTCTTATAATTTTTTGTCACCTTGCTTGGAGTCTTCTCATAGCATTTTTATGACAGTCAAAACAACTCGTGCACATTTAACAAAAAATCTGGAAAATAAACAAAAACAAAAATAGGACAGTGATTCATGTTATCCTTTAGAGCAAAATCTTTTATGTAATAGTTCTAGATATGTGGGAATAGCCTTAGCAGGTGCCCAAATCCCACAAACCATGTATATAAGTATCTATTGGGGACAGTCAGTCCCAAAAGGATAAGAATTCATTTCATTTCTCTGTTTAACTTACATACCGAAGAAGTTGCGCCAGTAGCGTCGACTGAGTGTGGTAAGGGGAATAAGCAAATTTAAAATCAAAACAACAAAAAAACCAAACACCTTCTCTAAAGTTTGAAACTGCTAGCGAACGCATGGTGGCGCTGTTGACTAAGAAAGAGAATTAAGCCACAGGCAGTGTGCAAACTAACGTAATGCACTGATCCCGTGTGGTAAACTAGGGGTTGTGAGCGTGAGCTGATTTTTAAGGAAGCAAATCTCAGCCTCTGGAGAGGAATAGTCGCTAGACCTTCTTCAAAGTTTGGGAGACAGAAGACTGCGTTTCCCGGGGCTATCAGAGACTGAGCTTAACGATATTCTTGGACCAACCTGGCATAAAGAGCAATGGAGGCCGCAGGGGAGCGCTTTCTTAGACAAAGGCAAGTCCTGTTTCTCTTTGTTTTTCTGGGTGGGTCTCTGCTTGGGTCGGAGTCAAGACGCTACTCTGTGCCTGAGGAAAAGGAGAGGGGCGTTTTAATAGCCAACATAGCAGAGGATCTGGGGTTGAGTGTAGGGGAATTGGCCACAAGGGGGGCCCAGGTTGTGTCTAAAGGGAACAGACAGTATTTTCAGCTTAATCATCAGACGGGTGATTTGCTCCTGCTGGAGAAACTGGATCGGGAGGAGCTCTGCGGCCCCACAGAACCATGTACACTGCACTTTCAGATACTATTGCAAAACCCTTTGCAGTTTATTACAAATGAGCTCCATGTCACAGACATAAATGACCATTCTCCAGTATTCTTTGAAAATGAAATGCAGCTGAAAATCCTAGAAAATACTCCACTAGGAACAGTAATTCCTTTGGGAAATGCTGAGGACTTGGATGTGGGAAGAAATGGTCTCCAAAATTATACCATCACTCCTATTTCTCATTTCCACGTTCTCACGCGTAGTGGTAGGGATGGAAGGAAGTACCCAGAACTAGTGCTGGACAAAGCACTGGACCGTGAGGATCAACCTGAGCTCAGTTTAACGCTCACCGCCCTGGATGGAGGCTCCCCAGGCCGGTCTGGGACCACCCAGATCCACATTCTGGTCTTGGATATAAATGACAATGCACCAGAATTCACACAGTCACTCTATGAAGTTCAGATTCCAGAGGACAGGCCGGTTAACTCTGTTATTGTCACTGTATCAGCTTCGGATTTAGATACAGGAAAATTTGGGACAATATCATATGCATTTTTCCATGCTTCTGAAGAAATTCACAACACTTTTCGACTAAATGCAATGACTGGTGATATTCAACTGGTTAAGTATTTGGATTTTGAGGTGGTTAACACTTATGAATTCAATATAGAAGCCACGGACGGCGGAGGGCTTTCAGGAAAATCAACTGTGGTAGTTCAAGTGGTTGATGTGAATGATAACCCACCAGAACTGACTGTGTCGTCAATTACCAGTCCTATCCCCGAGAACTCACCAGAGACTGTGGTGGCCATTTTCAGTGTTTCCGATCCAGACTCTGGAGATAATGGGAAGTTGATGTGTTCCATAGAGAATGGTCTGCCCTTTGTCCTGAAACCATCTATAGAGAATTTTTACACCCTAATGTCAGAAGGAGCGCTGGACAGAGAAAGGCAGGCCGAGTACAACATCACGATCACGGTCACGGACTTGGGGACCCCCAGGCTGAGGACCCAGCACCACATCACCGTGCTGGTGTCCGACGTGAACGACAACGCCCCCGCCTTCAGCCAGAGCGCCTACACGCTGCTGGTGCGCGAGAACAACAGCCCCGCGCTGCACATCGGCAGCGTGCGCGCCACCGACGCCGACGCGGGCTCCAACGCGCAGCTCACCTACTCGCTGCTGCCCGCCGGCCGCGCGCACCCGCCGCCCGCCGCGCTCGTGGCCGTCAACGCCGACACCGGCCAGCTGTTCGCGCTGCGCTCGCTCGACTACGAGGCGCTGCGCGCCTTCGACTTCCTGGTGGGCGCCACGGACCGCGGCTCGCCCGCGCTCAGCGGCCAGGCGCGGGTGCGCGTCGTGGTGCAGGACGCCAACGACAACGCGCCCTCCGTGCTCTACCCGCCGCCCAACGCCTCGGCGCCCTGCCCCGAGCTGGTGCCGCGCGCGGCCGACGCGGGCTACCTGGTCACCAAGGTGGTGGCGGTGGACGGCGACGCGGGCCAGAACGCCTGGCTGTCGTTCCAGCTGCTCAGGGCCACGGAGCCCGGGCTGTTCGGCGTGTGGGCGCACAACGGCGAGGTGCGCACCGCCAGGCCGCTGGGCGAGCGCGACGCGCCCAAGCACCGGCTGGTCGTGCTGGTCAAGGACAACGGCGAGCCGCCGCTGTCGGCCAGCGTCACGCTGCACGTGCTGCTGGTCGACGGCTTCTCGCAGCCCTACCTGCCGCCGCCCGACGCGCCGCCGCCCGCCGCGCAGGCCGACCGCCTCACCGCGTCCCTGGTGGTGGCGCTGGCCGCCGTGTCGTCGCTCTTCCTCCTGTGCGCGCTCGCCTTCGCGGCCGCGCGCCTGTGCGGGAGGCGCGGGGCCGGCGCGCGCGCGGGCTCGCTGGGGCCCGACGGCCCCTTCCCGGGCCGCCTGGTGGACGTGGGCGGCGCCGGGACGCTGTCCCACAGCTACCAGTATGAGGTGTGCCTGACGGGGGGCTCAGGGACCAACGAGTTCAAGTTCCTCAAACCCATTCTCCCCAACTTCCTTGCTCAGGGTGAGGAGAGTGTTCATGAAGCAAACCCGTTTCAGGGGTAGGTTTGAAGTCAATCAATGATAAATATTAAAGGATCGATTGAATTTACACTAGATAAATTTATCTTTTAATGATGGTTTCAATTAAGTATATTTAAGGGAATGCTTATTAAAATCTATATCCAATTCAATATAGAGTATCAAACCACCAGTCTTATAACTTTGTTGAAAGTAGTCAGGTACTTTTTTAAAATAACACTCCTAATGTAGCTTTGTGTGGGGTTAGTAAAGTTGGTGGATAGATAAGAATGTGTATGATTTAAGATGTACCATGTTTTTAAGGGTATACTGCTCAAATGAAAGTAATACACCTAATTCAGAATGACATTCAAAATTATTTCAATATTGGGTCTCCCTGGTGGTACAGGGGTTAAAGTCTCAGAATTTTCAACCTCTGGCCAGCCACTATGGCAAAAGTTTGATCCCCAGCCCTGGAGTTGACCTACTTGGCTCAGCAGTCCTCTCCTGTTTCACCAGCTGCTCCCCTCAGCAGTGTATTTCAGTAGATTCACCTGTTTTGCTCCCCACTCTGTGTCTGGTGAATCCGCTCCACCCCTTTCCTCCCCACCTCTGACCCCAGTTCTTGTGCACATAAATAATAAGTCTAAAAAAAAAACAACATTTCAGGGCCTCTGTGGTGGCGCAGGCGGTTGAATGCAGCTCTGTGAAGCTGTCCGCAGCCTCCGCAGCACTAGTTCCATCCCGGCCTGCCGTGGAGCAACCCACATGGCCCAGCAGACCTCTCCTGTCTCACCCGCTGCTCCCCTCAGCAGTGTATTTCCGTCCTTCTGCCTGTTCTGTTCCCCGCTCTGTCTCTGGTGAATCCTCTCACCCTCCCACACATCTGGCCTGTACCTCAGCTCTTGTATAAATTAAAAAAAATAAACATTTCAGTTATTGTCTATTCTTACATTGCCCAAAAATGGACAAAAATACAAGATAGCTGGGCTATCTTGCCTCTACCTTACCAGGGAGGAATTATAAAACTGCCACTTACTTTCCAGAGTACTCCTTGGTCTAAAATGTATTGTGAGGATTGAGGGGGGGAAAAATCAAATCTAAGCATTTTAAACAACCGATTATGGTTTTCCATTTGGCAAAAAACAGTTTTGCAAGGCTTCTGGAAAAAGGCAATTTGGTTTGTAAATTGTGAGATGTAAATTTTCTCAACCTGATGGGCATTTTTTGAAAATTTCATGAATATGCATGTATATATGATCTCTAAATGCTGTATGGTAAAAATAATGTCCCATTAAATCCCACTTTTTTTGCAAAATATTCTTGACATTTATATAGTGATGTCAGGGAAATGTTTTCTCTATTTCCTGTTTTGGTTCCTTCTTTAGATTTCAACCTGACATGAATCAGGATGATATATAGTCCTTCTGGGATAAGTACTGTCCATCCACATCAGCATTCGGCCTCCTGTAGGAGAGACCAATGTCATTTGTGAAAGAATAAACTAGCCAAAAGTAAAAAAGAAAAGTGGAATACAACCAAAACATCAACATTTATGACAAACGTAATAGTTCCCAATTAGCAAAGCTAATTAGGAAAAAATAAAATTTCTCCTTAAAGGAATTATCTCATACAGATAGAACTTTCCAGAAAATGACTCCTTGTAAATTTGCATTTCAATGAGTGTGAAATATAGGTTTCATTTGGAAGGTTAGCTGATACTAAATTTTAGTGTGCTTTCACCATTGCTTGCTTTACAATTTTTTTCATTCAAACGGCCATTTGATGTGCTAAAACTTATCTCTCTCTATGGAAAAAATACAAAAGTAACTCTTTTATAAGAATTTAAATAAAATCTACAAACCACCGATATTATTTAGCTATTGCTAATAGGTTAATATTTTGAAATAATATGTCATTTGAACATTTAAGGAACTAAAAATGTTCATTAAAATCTAATACCTACTTTACCAATTTATCTCTTATCAATTTATCTCATTAACAATTAATGTTAATTCACCCTCTACTTATCACCTTCAATTTATGCCCAAACAGCTCTCTGGCCATCATAAGTTTTCAAAACATTTTCTCACTTAAAAAAAATGAGACAGAGTTCAAAACTTTAAAGTATGTACTTAGATTTCGAACTTTAAGATTACTTCTATTCAAATTTCTTTAAAATAATGTTTATCTTTCTTTCAATGATATTTAAAGTTCTTGCCCATATTTTATCTGGGAGGAAACTGCTATTTAATTTCCAGAATACTCCTCTTAGCTATTCTAGCTCTCTTTGAATATTCAAATATCATGCTTTAGGTCTAGCAACCAATTTTTCAAATTATTGTATGACTCCTGAAGAATAAGGCATATTTTCTCCCTTACAAGTACTCACCAACCCCGACCCTGTTTAGCTTGCAATATCACAGGAGATGAGGCACATTCACAGTGGGATGGGAGGAGACATATAATGCATCTTTTCTTACTGCCATGGAATGGTTTATCAGGTGATCATTCTATATATCAATAACTCCACTTCCATGCAGATATAACAGGCTTTTTTTTACAATAAACTTGGCATTGGGGGAGTATTTTATGATATAATGTTAAACTACCCTTTTAGTTCACCTATTTGATTTTAACTTTATACCCTAATAACATCTCTAAAGATCTAGACATGGGCCTCCCCTGGTGATGCAGTGGTTGAGCACTGAGCTGCGAAGCTGCCCGCAGCCTCTGCAGCACCGGTTAGATCCCTGGCTGCTGGCGAGTGTCCCCATGGGGCGCAGACCTCTCCTGCTGCCCGCTGCTCCCCTCAGCAGTGTACTTCGGTCCTTCTGCCTGTTCTGTTCCCCGCTCTGGCTCTGGTGAATTCTCTTACCCTCTCACGCTTCTGACTGTACCCAGTGCTTGTATAAATAAATAAATAAATAAATCTTAAAAAAAAATAAAGATCTAGACATAGATTTCTTTCTCCAATATTTAAAGCTTTAGAAACTTAATTATGTATGTCATTCTTACATTTTTATCTAATTACCTAATTAATTTTACTGAACCAACAAAACACAATTTCCTTTCAATTGCTAAGTTTTGTAGCACCTCTCTTTGCTGGTAGCTATTTCTAATAGGAGACAAACCACTTTTAAGTTTCTTGTATTAATTGAAAACTTCAATACATTTTACCTATAATGCTTATGTACCCAAGTCAAGGCTGAAAGTTGGATCTAAATTATTATAAAAAATCTGGGCCTCTCTGGTGACACAAGGGGTTAAGCACCACACTATGAAACAATCCGAAGCCTCTGCAGCACCAGTTTGAGCCCCAGCTGGCCAGGGAGAAACCCACATGGCACAGCAGACCTCTCCTGACTCGCCCGCTGCTCCCCTCAGCAGTGTACTTCGGTCAATCTGCTTGAGCTGTTCCCCACTCTGTCTCTGGTGAATCCTCTCACCCCCCACACCTCTGGCCTGTACCCCAGCTCTTGTATGCATAAATAAATAAATCTCAAAAAAAATAAATTATTTAAAAAATCATTTACTTTCCCAATTCCAGTTACATAGATAAGAGAATGGATTCTGGCATAATACTTTAACAGTTTGAGTAGTAAGCTCTGCTGTGATGTGTGACAATGGGCAGGTTTGCCTCATAAAATGCACTACTAAGAGTGCCTACCTCATTAGAATTGTTTGGGGGATGAGTTAATATATGTAAAATGGCATGTAGAAGCATGTATATGTTAATATTATATCTCATTAGCTTAAGGTTGACAAAAGAAACTGAAAATGAGTGGTTCACAATATTATTTCTATGTCAAAATACAGGATAAGTAGACAAAATATAGTTTTCATTCTATTTTGATCTCTACCTTGAAACAAAATAAAAGTTGGTAGCTATAGTATGACCAATTTGCTCTTCATTTTGTCCAAGATATTTGCTTTCTACTTGCATCCAAAATAATATGCTTTCATTTTAGTATGTTTTTTATTATTTTTATTTCATTTAACATTGATGATATATATTGTACCTCATCTGATTTGCCTTAAATATGAAACAAGTTATAAAGTACATTAATATTATTGCCATTGCTACAACTTTTATAGGAATTCATAGAACTGGAATAAAACTATCTTAATTGAACAGTGCTTAACATGCGTTATACCCTCACTTTTCTGAATTCTATATTCAGCTTCAGCTATTTGTACAACTAATGTATGATCTGATAATTATCTTATGTAGGTAGAAATAATCATCAGGGAGGATTACTTATCAAATTGTTATTTATTGTATGACTAGTACTAGTTTGAAACCAGGCTTGTTTCAAACACAATTTTTCCTAATACTTCCTATCACTATCTGAATCTAAGATTATCGATATGTTCTTAAAATAATTCATTCAATATGAATTATGGATCATAGTTTATTAAGTTAATTAAGTAATTAGGTTAAATTATGAGATATTTAAGGACAGGAATGCCCATATGTGACAGGATTAGTAGTATTCCACTCAATATACTAATTGTAACTAATAATAAACTGGTTAGTTAACTGTCTCAATTGACTTATTGTAGCAGGGCAATCACAATAACTGCTTATTACGCAGGAATCCATTTTATAAACAAGCCTCTCTTTTTTACCAATATGAGTAGACAAGGCCGGAGATACCCTCTGTACACAGACTTAAATGCTTTAAGTCAGGTTTTCTTGTTTTCCCCTTAACAGTTGGTCAAAGAATATAATGTCTGGGATACAAAGACAAATATAAGAAGCAAGCTCATCACAAAATATAAATATGTATCTAGCTAAACAAGCTTAAGCTTAAAACCTTTATCTTAGCAAAACTGTATGATTTTACTCACTTGATTTTGTCTTGATATTATCCTGTTAATTAGTCAAGCAGAATAATCAAGTCCTATCACCCTCTGACAGTCCCTTTCCTTATCTGCAAAACCTATTTTGTTTTTTCTCCAGGTCTATTAATCTGATTCGATAATACCATGTGACTTCCTTCTAAATGTAATATAAGCTAGTATTTGTAAAGGACCCATAGCACAGCAATATGCCTCTTCATTCAACTATATTATTATTTTCACCCCCAACATAGGAAAATAGAACCTTTTAATTTGAAAAACAGTCTTCCTGAGACAGTGGTACAGAACACCTTAAAAAACCTTTGCATCATCATAAATTCCTCACACATTTGGAAATAAATATATATGATTATTAGGAATTGAAATTGTATGTGTTTCTCTCTCCTGGTTAGATTATGCAAGGGAGAAATATAGTCCTTTAAAGTTCCATTGACTAGGATATAGGGAGACCAAGATATTTTCTTTGTGCTCATAATTATTCTAGCTTTTACAATGTAATGGAATAACCTTATGAATAACAGTTTTATTGCATAACAAAGTTTGTGAAAGTTCCATACACTTTCAAGTGGCTCACATTTTGACAATTTGCGAGGTACGATTTGACTTGAGAATATTAGCTTCTCAAGCAGGACGCAGGGTGGCGCTGCGGGTTAAGATTGGGAATAAAAGCCCTAAAAAGCTCACGTATTCCTTCGTCACAATACGGAATTAAAAATACACGGAAGAAGCTGTTGCCAGCTGTACTGGGTTACCAACGACTTTGTGCAGCGATATACTAAGCGAATTTATGATTAAAAGCAACTTTGAACGGATAGAAAACCAGAAATATCTCTAGCCTTTGTTGTGGTTGCTGAAGGGACTGGATGTAAGCACCTCGGCTCCAACATGGAGGCACCTGAGAAAATTCAACCAAACAGGCAAGTGATCTTCCTTTTTATGGTGGTGTTCTTGTCTCAAGCTGACCCAGAGCCTATTTGCTATTCTGTGCTGGAAGAAACAGAGAGCGGCTCCTTTGTAGCCCATTTAACCAAGGAGCTGGGCTTGGGAGTTGGGGAGCTGGCTGCCAGGTCAGCCAGGGTGGTGTCTGACAATGACAAGCTTGGCTTGCAGCTGGATCGTCAGACTGGAGATTTGCTTCTGAGGGAGAAACTAGACCGGGAAGAGCTATGTGGTCCCACTGAACCTTGTATAATGCATTTCCAAGTGTTCCTGGAAACACCCGTGCAATTTTTTGAAGGAGAATTATCAATCCAGGACATAAATGACCACTCCCAGTATTTCCGACAAAGGAAATGCTCTTGAAAATACCAGAAAACAGCCCTCCTGGGACTCTGTTTCCACTGACGTTAGCTCAGGATCTGGATGTGGGCAGCAATGGTCTTCAAAAATATACTATCAGTCCCAATTCTCATTTTCATGTTCTCACTCAAAATCAGAGCGAGGGCAAGAAATATCCAGCCTTGGTGCAGGACAAAGAGCTGGATAGAGAGGAGCAGGCTGAGTTTAGTTTAACTCTCATGGCTGTGGATGGCGGGTCTCCACCCAGGTCTGGCACCATCACTGTGCAAATTCAGGTCATGGATGTCAATGACAATTCCCCTGAATTTTTGCACACCCCATATGAGGTGCAGGTCTTGGAAAACAGCCCCCTAGGCTCTCCAATACTTACTGTCTTAGCTAGGGATATAGATACCGGAAACTTCGGAAGTGTTTCTTATGGTTTGTTTCAAGCATCAGATGAAATTAAACAAACTTTCTCCATAAATGAAGTTACAGGAGAAATCACACTGACAAAGAAATTGGATTTTGAACAAATTAAAACTTACCATGTGCAAATTGAGGCTACAGATGGAGGAGGCCTTTCTGGAAAAGGCACTGTAGTCATAGAGGTGGTGGATGTAAATGACAACACCCCTGAACTGATCATATCTTCACTCACTGACTCCATCCCAGAAAATGCTCCTGAGACGGTAGTCGCCATCTTCCGAATTAGAGACAGGGACTCTGGAGACAATGGAAAGATGACCTGCTCCATTCCAGATAACCTGCCATTCATTCTAAAACCAACTTTCAAGAATTTCTACACCCTGGAAACAGAGAGACCGCTGGACAGAGAAAGGCAGGCCGAGTACAACATCACGATCAGGGTCACGGACTTGGGGACCCCCAGGCTGAGGACCCAGCACCACATCACCGTGCTGGTGTCCGACGTGAACGACAACGCCCCCGCCTTCAGCCAGAGCGCCTACACGCTGCTGGTGCGCGAGAACAACAGCCCCGCGCTGCACATCGGCAGCGTGCGCGCCACCGACGCCGACGCGGGCTCCAACGCGCAGCTCACCTACTCGCTGCTGCCCGCCGGCCGCGCGCACCCGCCGCCCGCCGCGCTCGTGGCCGTCAACGCCGACACCGGCCAGCTGTTCGCGCTGCGCTCGCTCGACTACGAGGCGCTGCGCGCCTTCGACTTCCTGGTGGGCGCCACGGACCGCGGCTCGCCCGCGCTCAGCGGCCAGGCGCGGGTGCGCGTCGTGGTGCAGGACGCCAACGACAACGCGCCCTCCGTGCTCTACCCGCCGCCCAACGCCTCGGCGCCCTGCCCCGAGCTGGTGCCGCGCGCGGCCGACGCGGGCTACCTGGTCACCAAGGTGGTGGCGGTGGACGGCGACGCGGGCCAGAACGCCTGGCTGTCGTTCCAGCTGCTCAGGGCCACGGAGCCCGGGCTGTTCGGCGTGTGGGCGCACAACGGCGAGGTGCGCACCGCCAGGCCGCTGGGCGAGCGCGACGCGCCCAAGCACCGGCTGGTCGTGCTGGTCAAGGACAACGGCGAGCCGCCGCTGTCGGCCAGCGTCACGCTGCACGTGCTGCTGGTCGACGGCTTCTCGCAGCCCTACCTGCCGCCGCCCGACGCGCCGCCGCCCGCCGCGCAGGCCGACCGCCTCACCGCGTCCCTGGTGGTGGCGCTGGCCGCCGTGTCGTCGCTCTTCCTCCTGTGCGCGCTCGCCTTCGCGGCCGCGCGCCTGTGCGGGAGGCGCGGGGCCGGCGCGCGCGCGGGCTCGCTGGGGCCCGACGGCCCCTTCCCGGGCCGCCTGGTGGACGTGGGCGGCGCCGGGACGCTGTCCCACAGCTACCAGTATGAGGTGTGCCTGACGGGGGAACCCAGGACTGGTGAGTTCAAATTCCTGAAGCCAATATTCCCCAACCTTTTGGATACTGAGAGTGAAAATAAGGAAAACCCCAATTGCAGGAATAGTTTTGTATTCACTTAAATTCTGTATTTTTGCCAAGTGACCTTCTTAATTTTGGTAAACTCCTTTGCATTGTCTTTCTTTTAAGAAATTGTACTGTTGTGAATGTATGTCTACTGTAAACCCATACATGTCTCTAATCACACTTTCTTCCTTTTTAATATGTATTACACTTAGCATTTTTTTAGTTGTACAGGATATTGAGTATTTTCTTCTTATTTGACTTTTTCTTGGTTAGTAACCATTCCATAACTACAATTTACCCAAGTAGTATAAGAAGGAATTTTAAAACCAACTTCTTGATTAGTTATTGTATCTTTAGAAGTATTTTAAAGCTTTTATGTAATCTGCATTGCTGTATATTGTGGTGCTTGTCTTTACCAGATAGCTTCATCTCTGCAAGGCCAGAGTGATTCTTATAGCCATCTAGGATTTCTTGTTGACTTCCCGTCCAGGCTTTGCCCCTGAACGTATTTGTTTCTCCCAAATTATACATAAACATGCTTATGTACATATTGATACAATATTGTGATCTCCCATGGTGAGTGTCATTTATGCTAGAGATTGTATTATTTACTTGGCTATTATATACCCAGAATAGAGTAAGTACTTCATTAATAATAAAATTAAAATTTTACATTATTCTCATTTATAAATAATAATGAAAAAAGTCTTTATTTAATTTCATATTTAATAAAACCAGGTCGTTGTTTGGTAATAATCCTTTTAAAAATCTCATAACTTTAAACCTTTATGAAGGTTTAAAGACTCTGGAGAGTATCATATACTCCCTTGTCCTTCCTTCTTCCCTAGAAATATAAGTTCAAGTGTAGTTTAATGTACATATTTCTCTTGCTCTTCCTGTAGCCTCCCTCATCTTTCAAAGGCAATCAGAGAAAATCTTATGAATTTTGGTTATCCTATCAAGTTTGATTTTCATATCAAGTTTTCACTCAAAATTATTTTGTAAACATGGACAGCCATTATCAATAAATAACTTAGTTTTGATGTCAAAGTTATCTTTTGTTTTGTTCTTTGATGTAGCTTTCAGGTATTCTGTGTAAACTTAATTTTTCAACTATACTGGTTTCATTTATAAGAAATAAGCATTATTTTATCTTTTAGAACAGTAAGAATAGAAACTAAATAAGATAAGAAATGAACTTATCTAAACTATTATTGTTTTATGCTGTGTTCAATAAGTCAATTACATTGATTTTGAGAGTTCAAACTAAATTTATATGGATATGTTATCAGTCCACTTAGTTGAACTTTTAGCACAAGTGAGCAATTGAAAATCTTGCTTTATAATCTAAATATTTTTATATTTTAAGTGTCATTCTACTGAAATTTAAATATTGGCCTCCCTGAAGTACTTTCTCCCCTATGAATACAATGAAATTTTAAAAAGCAACATTAGTGACTGTTTAAGTTATTTTGGAAACAAAGTTTTGGCCTTCATCCAATCCAAAAATTTAAATGAGAAAGTGATAACATTAGAAAAATGAAGACTCATTCTTCAGCCAAAATAAAGGGAGCAGAATTAAAAACAAATATACAATGGGCCTCCCGGGTGGTGCAGCGGTTGAGCGCTGGGTTGCGAAGCTGCATGCAGCCTCTACAACATCGGTTCGATCCCCGGCTGCCGGGCGAGGGTCCCACATGGCGCGCAGACCTCTCCTGCCGCCCACTGCTCCCCTCAGCAGTGTATTTCGTCAGTCTGCCTGCTCTGCTCTCCCCTCTGGCTCTGGTGAATTCTCTCACCCTCCTGCGCTTCTGACTCTACCCAGTGCTTGTATAAATAAATAAAAATAAATCTTTTAAAAAAAAAACAAATATACAAGACATAAATATAGTAGTTAACTTTAATGACTTCTCCATTTATTATTCATTACTTTGCTTTTCTGTGTAGGGGCAAGATATTTGACTAAATTTTTCACAAATTTATTTGAGCATTATGAAAATTCAACTATATTTTTTTGTTTATGCAAGGAAAGTCTAATTTGTATAACTATCCAAATGAGACCAGTTGAATAATTACCCACAACCCATTTTTGTTAATACGTGTGTGTAAACTGAGGAATCCCTTTGTGCATTACTTTATGAATTGCTATATGTAGACATAAAGCATGCAGTGTTCCTTACCAGTTAGTCAGCACCAGACTTTTGTGTAAAATAGACCAACATCTTGAAATGCAATGAAATTAGAAATTATTAGTAAACATGATTCAAACAACTTTCACAAAATGTATCCTTCATGAAAAATAGTTCAATTCTATTGTTACAAACCAAAAATAGAGAACAGAGACCAAATCTTAAAAATAAAGATGCAGTTCTATCATATATTTCCCAAATGCTTGTATTATATATGCATATTTTATAGTTTCTTTTTGGGCATTTTTAGGAACAGAATATAATGTGTTTAACACATGCTTTTTTTTTTTTTTTTTTTTTTTTTTTTTGTTTAACACATGCTTTCTGGGGGACAGAAATTCTACTGAAGGCAGTGTAACCCACATCACTTTAAGAACCCCTCCTTTTACTACCAAAAGTTACAAAATGGAGATTTTATAAAGTCTGAGGTTAAAAGTTACACACATATTTGATGAATTTTGCTTCTAGGTTACATAGATTATCTAACTATAAAAAATGGTTAATATTTATCTATTTGAACCAACAGATAGCAGATGGTATAATAAGATCTGAAGGAACTAAGATGCCTAAAAAGGACTGACTGACTGACTCCTACAGTCAGTTTTCTCTGAGGAAATTTGCTAAGATGGAGAACAGACAAAATACTCCTGCCAGGAACAGTAACTTCAGAAGACATTGACAGATCAGAGTATTCAGGCTTAGGGTCAGTTCTCAGGATACTCATCAGTGCCTCCCTGGGGCATTCAGGGAAGGAGACTAAAAACATAAGTGGAAAATTTCTGGAAAACATAGTGAAGTTTTAATAGTCTGGCTGCACATAGATTAGTGTTTGGGACCCACTGTGGGAAGGGACTATGGAACATACAGTAAGTTGTTTTTTTTTTATAGATTTATTTATTTATTTATACAAGCACTGGGTACAGTCAGAGAAGTGAGGGAGGGTGAGAGAATTCACCAGAGCCAGAGGGGAGAGCAGAACAGGCAGACTGATGAAGTACACTGCTGAGGGAAGCAGCAGGTGGCAGGAGAGGTCTGCGCACCATGTGGGACCCTCACCCTGGTGGCCAGGGATCAAACCGGTGCTGCAGAGGCTGCGGGCAGCTTTGCAACCCAGCGCTCAACCGCTGCGCCACCGGGAGGCCCTATACAGTAAGTTTTAATTGAAAATTCTGGAGGAAAAAGTGCCTATCAGGGCTGCAAAGAACCTTGACTAAGAACAGAACCTGTTTGAATTAAGGCAATTTGATTAGGCCTGACTCTCAGGCTACAAAAGAGGAAGGATAGTATCAGTTGAATCATGGACCGAGTTTTACATATTCAGCATTCAGTAAAAAATTATTAGGCACACACACACACACAACTAGCTATGAATAAGACCTATAGAACAAACAGACAATACAAATGACCAATAGATGAAACAGATAATTAGAATCAACTGACAATGATGTTAAAATAAGTATGACTAATAAGCTTAAAATAAGGAGTAGAGAAACTAAACTTTAAAAATAGGGAATTTCATCAGATAATTGAACTTTACAAATGGATATTCTCAAACTGAAAAAGATAATTTCTGAAATTAAAAAGCATGTATATGATAATGACATAGTGGGCATGAAGGGATGTAGGAAAAGTGAATGCAAGATAAGTCCATATAAAATATCCAATTAGACTCACAGAGAAACGAATAATGAAGAATATAGAAAGAATATTCATGCTCACTTTGGAAGCACAGAACAATACAGAGAAGATTAACATGAAACTGAGAGAACCTAAATGAGAAACAGACAAATCCACAATCATAACAGAGAACTTAAATCAATCCTGTAGAAACCTAATAAAAAAAAAGGACACGTACACTAAGAATATCAAAGATCTGAACAACACAGTAATTCTATTTTAATACATTAATATATATAACAAACAGGAGAATATACATCTCTTTATGTGCATATTATCAAATTATGGGTCCAAGGCAAGCCACATTTTTTTTTTAAAGAATTGAAATGACTTAGAGAGTATGGTCTTTATTCACAGCAGAATTAAGACAGAAATAAAATTGTAACAAGAAATCCCCAAAAGTTCTCAAACTAAATAATATAATCCTTGGCTCAAAGAGGAAATCAAAGCAGAAATATCCATATATATATTTTTTAAAGATTTATTTTTATTTATTTATTTATACAAGCACTGGGTGCAGTCAGAAGCATGGGTGGGTGAGAGATTTCTCCAGAGCCAGAGCAGGGAGCAGAGCAGGCAGAAGGACAGAAGTATGCTGGGGAGCAGTGGGTAGCAGGAGAGGTCTGCTTGCCATGTGGGACCCTCCTCCGGTGGCCAGGGAGCAGCTGGGGATCGAACCGGCGCTGCAGAAGCTGGCAGCTTCGCAACCCAGCACTCAACCGCTGCGCCACCGGGGAGGCCATGTGTATATATTTTTAAACTAGGTAAAAATTAAGATTTTATATCTCAAAACAGGGCTTAGAGATTTTCAAGCTTAAAATGCACATGTTAGAAAAGAAAGACTGAAAATCAGTAATCTAAGTTTTCATCTAAAGAAACTAAAAAAGAACAAGTCAAATGAAAATAAGGAAGAAAGTAACAAACAGTATACATATACATATATAAAATAGAAGATGAAAGTATAACAGAGAAAATCCATAAAGCTGAAAATTAGCTCTTTGTAATGATTAATAAAACAAATCTCTGAGTCAGAACAATCAAGACTAAAAGAAAGACACTTCAATATTAGGAATGAAAAAGGGACATCACTACCAACCTTACAGACATTAAAAATATAAAAGGGATATTATGAACAGCTTTATGACAATAAATTTCACAATTTATGTAAAATGAAGAACATTTAGAACATTTATTAAAACCATAATTTATCAAAAGGGAAATGAGAATAGAAAACCTGATTAGTCATTTCTAGTAAGTAAATTAGTTATTAAAAATCTAGCTACTCCAATTCACACTGGTTAACACTTTGAAATAATTTTGAAAAATTAGCACCAGTTTTTATGCACTCTTTGAGAGAACAGAACAAATAGGAACTATTTCTCAGTTTGTGTGCTAGCTATTTCTCATTTGTGTGCTAGCCTAATTTGAATGGGTTATGACATCCACCCTTGAATAAGACATTATGAGAAAGAAAAATGACAGGCCAATCTCTTTTATAAAAAGTTGGAAAATTTTCAAACAAAATAGCAACAAGTTCAGAAATATATAAGTATCTAGAGCTACACCACCCTGAACATGCCTGATCTTGGAAGCTAAGCAGGGTGGGGTCTGGTTTTCTTTGATAGGAGAAACATATAAAATAGGAATAATAAAATGGGGTTGTTTCAGGAACACAATTGCAACTTAATATTTAAAAACCAACCAGGGCCTCCCTGGTGGCGCAAGGGGCTAAGACGCAACCTATGACGCTATCCACAACCACTGCAGCATGAGTTTGATCACCGCTCAGGGAGCTACCCACATGGCACAGCATACCTTCTCCTGACTCGCCCACTGCTCCCCTCAGCAGTGCATTCAGTCAATCTGCCTTTTATGTTCCTCCACTCTGTCTCTGGTGAAGCCTCTCACCCCCCACACCTCTGGCCTGTACCCCAGTTCTTGTATGCATAAATAAATAAATCTTCAAAAAATTTAAAAAAATAGGGCCTTCCCGGTGGCGCAGTGGTTGAGCACTGGGTTGCGAAGCTGCCCGCAGTCTCTGCAGCACCAGTTCGATCCCCAACTGCTCCCCGGCCACCGGAGGAGGGTCCCACATGGCGCGCAGACCTCTCCTGCCGTGCCCGCTACTCCCCTCAGCAGTGTACTTCAGTCCTTCTGCCTGCTCTGCTCCCCACTCTGGCTCTGGTGAATTCTCTCACCCTCCCACGCTTCTGACTATACCCAGTGCCTGTATAAATAATAAATAAATAAATCTTTTTAAAAAAACTTAAAAAATAAAAATCATGTAATTCATCACAATAACAACTAAAGGAGAAAAATGTAATTATCTCAAAAGATACAGATAAAGGTCAGTTGATAAAATTCAGCATGCATTATGGTAAAACAGCAAACTGAAAATAGAAGGGCAGTTCACATTGTATTTTAAAATCTATGGTAAACGTCACCTTGATGGTAGATTACTGAAAACTCTCATGGATCAGGAATGAAATAAGAATGCCTGCTTGTACTATTTTACTATAGATGCTAAAGAGTGAAAGAAGGCAAAAAATAATAATAATAAAAGGCACAATGACTGGCTATGAAGAAATAAGAATGTCTTTTTTAAAGGATGAGATGATTTGTAAACAAACACATAATTAAGAATCTGTTAGAATGAGTAAATGAAGTTAGCAATTCTACTGAATATAATAAGGTCAACATACAATATAAATTATATTTTTGTACAGCAAAAATGAACATTAAAATGTTGAATCTCATTTGTAATAGTTTCAAAATAACAGGTATCTAGAAACACCAGAATATGCTTAAGACTTCTACATTGAAAAGTATAAAGTATTATTGGAAAAGTTGTATATATCTAAATAAATAGAGATTATATAATGTTCAATATTTTAGAGACTCAATGTTGGGGAAATGTCAGTTCTCACCAGTCAATAGATACAGTGAAATCATAAACAAAATTTCATCAGATTTCTTGGTGAAAATTGTCAAACTGAACCTAAAATTTATATGGAGATACAAAAGGACAACAATCAACACAATCTTGAAGAAAAAGAACAAAACTGAAGGACTTACCTATCAGATAATAAAACCTATTATAAAGCTTTAGTAATAAAGTCAATATGGTTTTGCAGGATAAATAAAGAGAAAATGGAAAAAAGTCTTGAACAGAACTTTGGTCAGTAGACTTATGCCAAAATGACACTTCAGAAGCAATGCAGAATGGGTCACCTTTTCATAGATGGTGTAGTCGTTTAGAGAGATTTATGTGAAAAAAAGTCATTTTTTGACCTGAACTTAATTCATATGAAAAAATTAATTCAGAAAGATTATATCACTAAGTGTGAAAAGTAAAATAAATTTTCAAAATATACCAACACAAGAATATTTTCATGACCATGGGGGTATGCAAAGATTTAAACAGGGCACAAATAGTCCTATCCATGAGTGAAAATATTGAAAAATTAGGCTAAATTAAGGTCAAGTTTTGTTCACCAAAGACACTACATGACATTTCAGGTGCAAGCCATAGAGTGGGAGAAGATATTTGCAATTGAAAAAGGAGACATATTTAGAACGTATAAGGAACTTCAAAAGGCCAATAAGAAAAGAGATAATGTCCTAAGTAGAGAAACAGACAAAAATACTTGATAGGCACTTCAAAAGAATGTATCCCACTGACCAATAAACATGTGAAAATGTGCTCAATTTAATTAATCATGGAAATACCAATTAAAGTTATCTAATACAATATCACCATACACTCACCAAAGTAGTTTAAATTAAAAGATAGTATCAAATGTTGACAAAGCTAAGGAGCAACTGGAACTCTCATTCTTGCTGGTTTCGATAAATCACACTTGAAAACTGTTTTAGCAATATCTACTAAAGCTAAAATTATGTGTACATCTTAATACACAACAATGTAACTCCTAGGAATATATTCAACATGAATGAATAGACAACATAAGACAAGTACAAGAATGTGGGTAGCAGCATCACTCAAAATATCCCCAGATGGAAAACCCCAATCAATGTCCATCAATTGGAGAATGGATAAACAAATTGTGGTATCATGTAACAGAATAATAAAAAGCAGTGAGAATAAGTTAGTAGGTTTTACAACTGCATGTAACAAATGTAATGTTAAGTGAAAGAAACATTACATTTTCTGATTGATATTTCAAAATGAAGTGATTTTTTTATAGCTTGTAAACCACATACTTCTTGATATAATTAAGTAAATCCACAACAGAAAGTTTCTTCCTGTACTCAAAACATACTTTCATGAGGAAAACTAACACAGCGTTTTAGTTTGTTCTAAAAGTATTTTTCAACTGAAAGTTAACTCAGCAAATATTTATTTAGAACTTCCAATAAATAAGAATTGGAATTATAGTTGGGATAATTTCTGTGACTTAAAAGGTTAACAGAATTCATGTTTGGAATTAAATGGTAAATACTATATGCAATAGTAAATGTGGACGCCTGGTGGCGCTGCAGGCTAAGCGTATGAATGAAGGCACAGTGGATACCCCGGTCGCCATTAAGCTGGGAATCAAAACTCTGAATGCTTCCCAAAAGAAGGAAGTGTTTTTAGGTAAGATCTAGGGGAAAAAAATCTTCAGAGGGCATCGTTCTAGGTGCAAGTCAGTCAGAAAGATTTAATTCGAGGTTATTTAACGAGCAATCTGGATCAACTGTACACGGAATTGAAGAAACTGCACCTTCTTGGACCGGACCTGACCAATGGAGACTGCGCTAGCAAAAAAGCCACGGAAAGGCAAGTTATCTTTCTTGCTATATTGTTGCTTTTGAGGGAGGCTGCCTCTGAAACAATTAGATATTCCATGCCAGAAGAAACAGAAAGTGGCTCCATTGTGGCCAACCTGGCAAAAGACCTGGGGCTCAGGGTGAGGGAACTAGCCACAAGGGGTGCGCGAATCCATTACAAAGGAAACAAACAGCTCTTTCAGCTCGATACAAAGACCGGTAATTTGCTTCTATTTGAAAAATTAGACCGGGAGATGCTGTGTGGGGCGACAGATCCCTGCATATTGCATTTCCAACTGTTACTGGAAAGCCCGGTGCAGTTTTTCAAGGTGATCTGCAGCTCACAGACATAAATGACCATTCCCCAGAGTTCCTAGAGAGTGAAATGCTCCTAAAAATCACAGAAAACGTCCTGCCAGGGACTGTGTTTCCTTTGAAATTAGCTCAGGACTTTGACATAGGTAACAACACTGTTCAGAACTATACAATCAGCCCCAACTCCCATTTTCATGTTGTCACTCATAACCGCGGAGATGGCAGAAGATACCCAGAGTTGGTGCTGGACAAAGCGCTGGATCGGGAGGAGCAGCCGCAGTTCAGTTTTATCCTCACGGCGCTGGATGGAGGAGCTCCACCCAGGTCCGGGACCACTGCAGTCCTCATTGAGGTCCTGGACATCAATGACAATGCCCCTGAGTTTTTACAGTCGCTCTATGAGGTACAGGTTCCCGAGAACAGCCCCCTAAACTCCTTGGTTGTCACTGTCTCTGCCCAAGATTTAGATGTAGGAGCCTATGGGAATGTAATCTATGCACTATTGCAAGGCGCTGAAGTTACACAGCCATTTGTAATTGACGAGATAACAGGAGAAATTCGTCTGAAAAGGACATTGGATTTCGAGACAACTCGCTATTACAATATGGAAATTGCAGCCACAGATGGCGGGGGTCTTGCAGGAAAATGCACTGTAGCAATAGAGGTGGTGGATGTAAATGACAATGCCCCTGAACTGACCATGTCCACGCTCTCCAGTTCCATCCCAGAAAACTCGCCAGAGACTGTAGTTGCTGTTTTCAGTGTTTCTGATCCAGATTCCGAGGACAACGGTAGGATGGTTTGTTCCATTCAGAACGATCTCCCCTTTCTCCTAAAACCCACATTCAAGAACTTCTACACACTGGTGACAGAGGGAGCGCTGGACAGAGAAAGGCAGGCCGAGTACAACATCACGATCACGGTCACGGACTTGGGGACCCCCAGGCTGAGGACCCAGCACCACATCACCGTGCTGGTGTCCGACGTGAACGACAACGCCCCCGCCTTCAGCCAGAGCGCCTACACGCTGCTGGTGCGCGAGAACAACAGCCCCGCGCTGCACATCGGCAGCGTGCGCGCCACCGACGCCGACGCGGGCTCCAACGCGCAGCTCACCTACTCGCTGCTGCCCGCCGGCCGCGCGCACCCGCCGCCCGCCGCGCTCGTGGCCGTCAACGCCGACACCGGCCAGCTGTTCGCGCTGCGCTCGCTCGACTACGAGGCGCTGCGCGCCTTCGACTTCCTGGTGGGCGCCACGGACCGCGGCTCGCCCGCGCTCAGCGGCCAGGCGCGGGTGCGCGTCGTGGTGCAGGACGCCAACGACAACGCGCCCTCCGTGCTCTACCCGCCGCCCAACGCCTCGGCGCCCTGCCCCGAGCTGGTGCCGCGCGCGCCGACGCGGGCTACCTGGTCACCAAGGTGGTGGCGGTGGACGGCGACGCGGGCCAGAACGCCTGGCTGTCGTTCCAGCTGCTCAGGGCCACGGAGCCCGGGCTGTTCGGCGTGTGGGCGCACAACGGCGAGGTGCGCACCGCCAGGCCGCTGGGCGAGCGCGACGCGCCCAAGCACCGGCTGGTCGTGCTGGTCAAGGACAACGGCGAGCCGCCGCTGTCGGCCAGCGTCACGCTGCACGTGCTGCTGGTCGACGGCTTCTCGCAGCCCTACCTGCCGCCGCCCGACGCGCCGCCGCCCGCCGCGCAGGCCGACCGCCTCACCGCGTCCCTGGTGGTGGCGCTGGCCGCCGTGTCGTCGCTCTTCCTCCTGTGCGCGCTCGCCTTCGCGGCCGCGCGCCTGTGCGGGAGGCGCGGGGCCGGCGCGCGCGCGGGCTCGCTGGGCCCGACGGCCCCTTCCCGGGCCGCCTGGTGGACGTGGGCGGCGCCGGGACGCTGTCCCACAGCTACCAGTATGAGGTGTGCCTGACGGGGGGCTCAGGGACCAACGAGTTCAAGTTCTTGAAGCCCATTTTACCTAACCTTCCGCCTTTGGGCGCTGGGGAGGAAATAGAGGGAAAAGCCACCTTCCGGAATAGCTTTGGGTTCAATTAGGAATCCAATCACGATGCTATGATTTAGTCATTTATCTCTAACTTCCCCAGATCCCAGGATTGGGAACATCATGGAGAAAAATTCCACCTTCAAGCATAGCATTGATTGCCCTTTTGTAATTAGTTCTTTTGAACTTTATCTTGGCTACTTTTGGAAAACTCAATTCTACAACATTGCACTTATTCATACAATACCATTATCAATTCATGCATGCTGTTGAATTTCCCAAAATGTTTACTCCTCTTGTTATTTGTTGAGATTCTTAATAAAAATCAACTGATTTTCTCGATATTCTGTTTATCTGTTTCATCACATTTGAAGTTTATTCAATGCGAACTATCTAAAGTAAATTGTTTAACATAATTTTCTTCATTTTTCTCCCTCCTTTTTTCATTTTGCTTTCAAAGGAATACATGCCTATGATAAAGAATGCTGTAGGAGAGAAAGCATGACGATAAGAATAGTTTTATCTACTCTTCTGTGGTTGTTCTCATCAGCACTGACAAACATCTTTTAAACAAACATTTTATTGAGTTATACATACAAACAGAAAAGTGAAGAATCCTTGATGTTCATTTCAATGTGTTTCAGAAACTGTACATACTTGGAATCAACATCTTGAGGAAAAATGAAACACAATTAGCATCCCAGGTGCCATTCACATTACCTCTTAAAATCTCTACTATTCCAAGTATAACAAATAGCCTAGGTGCCAATACTATAGTTTAGCTTTGCCTTTTTAAAATTTATACAAATGGAATAGTAGAGTATAAAATATTTTGTGTCTTTCACTTAATGTTATGTTACAGGTGACATTTATGCATACTACTTTTAATTCTTCATTTTTGTTGCTCTACAGTATCCCACTATATGAGTATTTCACAATTTATTTACCATCCATTTGAATGAGTCAAAATTTGGTTGTTAGAATAATACTCTGAACATTTTTTAAAATTTTTTTTTTAAAAGAGGCATGTATTATTTATTTATTTGTTTGTTTGTTTGTTTATACATGCACTGGGTACAGTCAGAAGTGCGGAAGGGTGAGAGAATTCACCAGAGCCAGAGCGGGGAGCAGAGCAGGCAGAAGGACCGAAGTACACTGCTGAGGGGAGCAGCGGGCGGCAGGAGAGGTCTGTGCGCCATGTGGGACCCTCCTCTGGTGGCGGGGGAGCAGCCAGGGATTGAACCGGTGCAGCAGAGGCCGGGGGCAGCTTCACAACCCAGCGCTCAACCGCTGCGCCACCGGGGAGGCCCTGAACATTCTTGTACATTTCTTTTGGTGTGTATGCTTTTCTTTCTGTTGGGTATATAGTTAAGGGTGAAATGCTGCTCCATAAGTACACTTTTACTCTTAGTAGATAATTCCAAATAGTTTTACAAAGTGCTGTATTAATTTACACTGTTATCAGCAGTATCTAGATGTACTAGTTCCTCACCATGCTTGCCAACATCTAGTTGTCTGTTTTTCATTATATCTCTTTGAAAGCAGTTTTAAACCTTATATTTTCTGGTTCTTACTTAATATATACTATCCATTACTTAGGGATATGTTTGTAATTTTCTTCAAACTTTAAACAATTAATTTTCTGCTATTATCATTTAGGACATAGCACACTTGAAACCTTTCTCACCCATCCTGCACAAATAGCTACTGTACTATTTTCTGGTATGTCTCTGCTCAAAGTGAAACTTCCATTGATTGTTCCACTAATAGTATATTTCTTGATCTTTTGTGTGTAGTGGAAAAGAATTCTTATTTTTTCTGTTGTTTCTTTTGCATCTATAGACATCTCTAAAATGAACTCTGGTTTTTATATAGTCATAATTGATGGCACTTTTTACTCTAGAATTAATAGGGAATAATTAATTTCTTGTTTTGTCTAGAAATATATTTTAAGCCTGGAATTCAATATTAGAAGTGAACCTTAATAACCACATAGATTATGAATGTTCCACAGTCAATAGGTCACCAGGAACACACTATCTCGGAATGAAGTTGGATTAATTGTTGTAAGGAAACTGCTCTTATTGGTCACTATTGGTCTTAGATTGTTATGTGATTTTGGGGGTGAGGTTCAAGGAATTAGGGGCTACTATGGAAAGGATGCTTTTAGAGAGTGGGGGTAACTATCTATAATTGAGTATCTTAAAGGGTTTTACTACAGAGGTGGAAAGTACAAAGTGAGGTTAAGGCTGCTTGTTTTTGTTGTTGTGTGTGTGTGTTTTTAAAGCATTCACTGGTAATAGTCAGGACAGGAGACTTTGATTTGATTATTTTTTTGTACAATGTTCTTGGTTATATATTTGCTCAATCATGATCATGAAATTCTCTTATTTTGGTCTCTTTCCATCAGGGTCACAATGGTCTTTGGTGATGTTGTTCTGTGGCATTGTTTATGTTCAACAGACATTCATGGCCTACTTGTGAGCGCTATATCGGTTTCTAGTTGAAGGAAGCAATTTTTCTCTTTCTCAAAATATTGTTGGTTGTACTATAAAATCCCTGGAAGAAATTATCAGGGAAAAGCTTCATGATATTAATTTGGCAATGACTTCTTAGATGTGACAGCAAAAGCACAGGCAACAAAAGCAAAAACAGATAAATGAGACTACCTCAAACTTTACAAAATTTGGGGGCAACAAAGTATTAAAATGCAACCTGTGGAGCAGAAGAAAATATTTGCAAATGCTATATATCCAATTATCAGTTAATGTGCAGAAAATATAAAAACTCCAACAACTCCAAAAATGAAGAACTTGATTAAAAATGGACAAAGGAACTGAAGATACATTTCCCCAAAGATGGCATACAAATGACCAACAAACAGATGCAAACATACTCAACACTACTAATCATATGAGAAATGCAAATCAAAACTTCAATATCACCTCACATTGTGATGACTACTCTCAAAAAGCAGAAAATAACAACTGTTGGTGAGGGTATGAAGAAATGGGCACCTTTGTGGAATGTTGGTGAGACCGTAAAATAGTATAACTGCTATGGAAAACAGTATGGATTTTCTTTGAAAATTTTAAAATAGAACTTTTGCATAATCCAGTAATTCTACTTCTGGGCACATATCCTATACAATTAAAAGCAAGGTCTCCAAGAAATATTTGCATACTTGTGTTTGCAGCAGCACTCTTCACAATAGCAAGTGGTGGAAGAAACCCAAATGCACATTTGTGGATGAATAGAGAAACTAACTGTGGTATATACATTTAATGGAGTATTATTCAACCCTAAGAAGGGAAGCTTATCACATGCTACATCATAAGTGAACCTTAAGGACATTGTTTTAAGTGACATAAGCCAGTCACAAAAAGGCAAATAAATATTGCCTGACTCCATTTATATGATGCTTCTAAAGTGGTCAGATGCACAGAAGCAGAAAGTAAGATGGTGGTTACAAGGCACTAGGGGAATGAGGACAGTGACAATTTTTGTTTAAAAAGGTATAGAGTTTCAGATATGCAAGATGAAAACGTGTGAATGTGAACAGACAACTCTACTGAACCGTATACCTGAAAATAATTAAGATGATAAATTTTATGTTTTTTTACCACAATAAAATATTGTCCATTGCAGACTCATATTAGTGATAAGGGCCATATTTTCTGCTCTTTTAATCTCCTGTTGTGTCTTCTATGCCACTGAATGTAGAATGTCTCCAGAATCAAGAGCAATAGATTTACTATTTTAGCCATCATTTAGACTTGACTTCACCATATCTTTCAGTATGTTCAAATCAGTAATTCACCTTTGCATATTTCCTACCTGAATCCCTCTCTGCTTCTATCTGGACTAAATGACCTCTTAGTGCAAATAAAACTGTCATCTTCTTCATACCTCTCCTAGTTGAGTCTACTGTTTGATAGATCCTTACCTATTTCTTTTTAAAATTCCTTCTCCTTGGGACTTTCGGGTGGCACAGTGAGTTGAATGCAGCACTGTGAAGTTGTCCACAGCTTCTGCAATGCCGGTTCGATTCCCTGCCTGCCAGGGAGACTCCCACGTGGTGGGGCAGGCCTCTCCTATCTCTCCCACTGCTCTGTCTCTGGTGAATTCTCTCACCCTCCCACACCTCTGGCTTGTACCCCAGTGTTTGTATAAATAAATAAATCTTTAAAAAAATAAATAAAATGCCATTATAAAAATTCCCTCTCTTTGTTACAGCATATCCTCAGGTGACTTTCTAAGAGAAGGTGCACAAAAAATAAGCTGTCTATGTCTCTTCATATCTGACAATGGATTTAGTTTTCTTTTAAACTTCATCAATATCTTATACATTATATGCATCATTCAATATCTTGTATATCACAATTAATTCATTTTTATATCTGGGATTATTTCATATTCACTATTATTTCCATAAAATTACATTCCCAATTTTTCTTTTTCTGAGACTTGTGTTTGTTGGATATCAAATATACCCAATTGTTTCTACCTGTTTCTTTTTTTTTTTAAATAATTCCATGATCAGAATTGAAGGATTTTTTTTTTAAAGATTTATTTATTTATTTATTTATTTATTTATTTATTTATTTATTTATTTATTTATTTATACAAGCACTAGGTACAGTCAGAAGCACAGGAGGGTGAGAGAATTCACCAGAGCCAGAGCGGGGAGCAGAGCAGGCAGAAGGACCGAAGTACACTCCTGAGGGGAGTAGCAGGCGGCAGTAGAGCGATCGAAACAGCGCTGCAGAGGCTTCAGGCAGCTTCGCAACCCAGCGCTCAATCGCTGCGCCACCGGGAGGCCCTGTTTCTGTTTCTTATATTTCTCTTCTATTGCACAAAAATTCATCACCAGCCATTTGAGATTTCAAATGTATTTAGTGACAAATCATTTATATTTTGAAGATATTCTGCAGTAACTTTCATCAATTAGAAGATTTAAGTAGCCGCTTATATATCATCTCTATCTTTACCCTGAATTGTTGTTTTTCTTTGCATATAGCTAAATTAAAGAAGACTTGTGAGAGATGCTACTCATCCTTGAAGATTAGTTTTATCTTTAATTTTTAATATATTTGAAAATGTTTAAATAGTATAATTGAAAGGAAAATAAAACATATAGAATAAAAATGGAAATAAGCTTCATCAGTTATGTAATTATTATAAGCTAACTAAATAAAATCAAGTTTACCATACTGCCCAATGTTTCATTAGCTAAAGTACTATTGCAACCCACAGGTAATAATTTGGCTAAATTAATCTTAAAACTATCTCTCCACATTAGCATATAATAGCATAAATAGCAGGGGAAAGCTATTAAAAATGATTAAGATAATTCCCAGTGAATGATGAAATGTTCTGTAT